TGGAACATGAAGGTGGACCCTGGGACCCAGACCTTGAGCTGTGTAAAGGACCCCAAAAAATGGAGCTGCTTCCCGTTCTCCCAGAACATTGATTTTTGTGACCACGGTTACAAACCGCCTCCAGAGAGCCTGTTCTGCACCAGACCAGTGGAGCCAGACTGCAGCTAGAGCCCATCATCATCCTCATCTGGTTGTAAGTAGGCAATCTAGTATATTATTCGTGGCTCTAAGCTCTAATTTACCTCACATTAAAGAAACACTATAGTCCCCAGAACCACTTCAGCTTAATGTAGTGGTTCTGGTGTCTATAGCCTGTCCCTGCAGGCCTTTTAATGTAAACACGGCGGCACTGCAGCACTGGCGTTAGTTAACATGGCAAATCAAATGGGTGGGGCATTGTGATGTCACATGGGGGGGGGGCGGCAAACTTTACTTTTGCCTAGGGCGGCAAAAATCCTTGCACCGGCCCTGGCTGGAGGGGGCTGTGTGAGCTGTGGCCGCACAGTGTCCCATGGTAGTTAGGGTGCCGTGCGGCCAGTACAGCTCACACAAGCAAACAGCCGATAAACTGGCCGCACGGAGGAAATGTGTATGTGTGACTGTCTGCCTGTGACTGTATGTGACTGTCTGCCTGTAACTGAGTGTGTGACTGTCTGTCTGTAACTGAGTGTGTGACTGTCTGCCTGTAAATGTGTGTGTGGGGCTGCAGGGATTTTGTAGAAGGGGGCGGGGGGTTTGTATTGGGCCAGGAGTCTTTATAAGGGGGGATAAGCAGGGGATTTGTGGAAGGGGGTTGCAGGGGTTTTGTAGACGAGGCAGTACAGGATTTGTAGAAGGGGCAGGACAGAGGTTTTGTAGGAGGGGTGGGGCAGGACAAGGGTTTTGTAGGAGGGGCTTACAGCGGTTTTGCAAAGTTTACAAATTGTAAAAAAAAAGAAAGAAAACCTTTAACATTTTTTACAGGTTTTTTTTTTTCTTGGGTGGTGGTGGCTGCCAAGCACAGTATCCGCCCCGGGTGCCAAATGCTCTAGGTACGCCCCTGTGTCTACTATTGTTTCCTGACTCTGTGGAAAAGCTTTTACCACTGGACTATATGGGTTATTTATCTTGTAGGGCAGTGTGATTATGTTTTTTCCCTATGTTGTGTTGCACTTGAATGGCCAACATTTTCAAAATGCCTGAGTAGTACCTTTAATTTATTAATTGATATTAACCCCTTCTGACCGGAGGACGTACAATTACGCCCTATTTTAGGCGGCTCTAAACGCCGCCGGGCGTAATTGGACGCCCTCCGGTTTTTGTTAACTTACCCCGTGGCAGATCCTTCTCCTCCGGTGCTCTTCGGCCATGTGAGAGTGGGGTCCTAGCGAGGACCCCACAATCACATGGCCGGGTAGGCTGCCTCCTGCATTGCCAGCAGGGGGCTGCCTGTAATGACAGGTGGTCTCCCTGCTGGCTGAAAATAAAATGAAAATAAAATTTATTAGTGTAAAAAAAAAATATATATACTTAGATCATATATATATGATCTAAGTATATATATACACATATACATACACACACATACACCGTCTAGGTGTATTTTACTATTAATATATATATAATTATATATATATATATATTAATATCAAATTACACGTAGACTGATACTGACTAAATATATATATAATTATTGTTATATATATATTTATATATAATATAAAAAAATTAAATATGTAAATACGTTAAAAAATAAAATAAAAAAATTATTAAAAAGAAATAATTAAAAAATATATAGATGTGTGTTATTTAGTTCTAACTGTATTGTGAAATTAATACATATATATATCAAAATACACGTAGAATGAAATAATATATATATCTATATACATATATACGTATATATCACTATATATATATATAGCTATATATAAATAAAAATATTTAAAAAAATGATATTATATATATATATATATATATATGAATATATATACATATATTAATTCTACATATATATTTATGTAATATTTTTACATAATTAGGTATCTTAATTAATTACAATTAGTAGGACCTGCCTGACAACCCATGCCGAAAGTAAAGGGAATTTAATTTGCTAGCACTATATTTAACCCTATAACTTTCCAAGACACCATAAAACCTGTACATGGGGGGTACTGTTCTACTCGGGAGACTTCGCTGAACACAAATATTAGTGTTTCAAAACAGTAAAATGTATTACAACGATGATATCGCCAGTAAAAGTGACGTTTTTTGCATTTTTCATGCACAAACAGCACTTACACGGACGATATTATTGCTGTGATACTTTTTACTGTTTTGAAACACAAATATTTGTGTTCAGCGAAGTCTCCCGAGTACAACAGTACCCCTCATGTACAGGTTTTATGGTGTTTTCAAAAGTTACAGCGTCAAATATAAGGCTTGCGTTTCATTTTTTTCACATTAAAATTCGCCAGATTGGTTAGGTTGCCTTTGAGACCCTATGGTAGCCCAAGATTGAAAATTACCCCTATGATGGCATACCATTTGCAATAGTAGACAACCCAAGGTATTGCAAACAGGGTATGTCCAGTCTTTTTTAGTAGCCACTTAGTCACAAACACTGGCCAAAATTGGTGTTTTTTGCATTTTTCACACACAAACAAATACTAACGCTAACTTTGGCCAGTGTTTGTGACCAAATGGCTACTAAAAAAGACTGGACATACCCCATTTGCAATACCTTGGGTTGTCTACTATTGCAAATGGTATGCCATTATGGGTGTAAATTTCATTCCTGGGCTACTATACAGTCTCAAAGGCAACGTAACCAATCTGGCGAATTTCAATTTCAAATGTAACGTGCTATATTTGACCCTGTAACTTCCCAAAACGCCATAAAACCTGTACATAGGGGGTACTGTCTTACACGTGAGACTTTGCTGAATACAAATATGTGTATTTTATTGCAGTAAAAGCAAACAGTATTATGACACTGACCGTTAAAATGTCATGTAGAACTAAAAAAATCCAAAAAAATCTATTTTCTCCCATTTTTTTCATATTAAATTATGTTTCATAGCTAAATATTTGATATTAAATGAAAGCCCTGTTTCCCCTGAATAAAATGATATATAATAAGGGTGGGTGCATTTTATATGAAAGAGGTGAATTACGGTTGGACAGACGTAGCGCAAATGCCAGGTTTTGTTTACATTTTTTTGGTTCACAACGTGTACATTTGGTTCCGTCCTTAAGGGGTTAATGTTAGATTGTTTTACTATGTATTATAATATGGGTTTTGTAACAATCTTTTCTTTTTAATTTATATAGATTTAAATTGCATATACCAACTTCAGTTTAATAATAAGACTGCCTTTCTACTGTGAATCCTCTCACTTACTGAGACATATGAGACAGATGTTTACTTGCTCTTTTCTTTATTTTGTTTTAACTTAACACTTAAAGGACCACTATAGTGCCAGGAAAACATACTTGTTTTCCTGGCACTATAGTGCCCTGAGGGTGCCCCCACCCTCAGGGTCCCCCTCCTGCCGGGCTCTGGGGAGAGGAAAGAGTTAAAACTTACCTTTTTCCAGCGCCAGGCGGGGAGCTCTCCTCCTCCTCTCCTCCTCTTCGGCTGAATGCGCATGCGTGGCGCACATTCAGCCGGTCTCATAGGAAAGCATTTACAATGCTTTCCTATGGACGCTTGCATCTTCTCACTGTGATTTTCACAGTGAGAAGCACACAAACGCCTCTAGCGGCTGTCAATGAGACAGCCACTAGAGGCTTTGGAGGTTGGATTAACCCTATTATAAACATAGCAGTTTCTCTGAAACTGATGTGTTTATTAAAAAAAGGGTTAATCCTAGAGGGACCTGGCACCCAGACCACTTCATTAAGCTGAAGTGGTCTGGGTGCAGAGAGTGGTCCTTTAATAGTTTATTATGACACAAAATATAAAATATCAGGAGCTAAAGATGAAGTACAGGAGTTAGATGGCAGCACTAGGGAAATATTCAGGTAAGTATATCTCCGTTCCCGGTTACTGAGTTATGGTTAATGCCCTTCTATAGGCTTTGTGTCATATTAGCCCACATTTTTATAAGGGATTTAGCAGTTCTCCAGCAGACATTCAAACTTTGAGAATTTGTTTTATTGTTAGCATGTAAAGTATTTACTGACTATTGTTTCTCCAGAACTCTTTTGGGCCCTTACAGAAAGTATATACTACAATTTTGTTTTTGTTTAAAATAACTTCTATGTCACAAAAAAAATAACTTTGCACCTTCAAACCAGTAATTATGTTATGTAAATTCCATGGTAAAATCTCAATATAATACATTTAAAATCATGGTGGCAATACTACAACCTGTTGAAATGGTCCAGGGTGTAAATACTTATACAAGGCACTAAGTATTCTCTTGTTACACTCAGAACACCTTGTTTTCACTCCAGTCAGCATGTGTTTCCTATTTTATCAAAGGCCAGGTTTGTAATGTCAGTTTCTAGCCTTTATAAATACATGAACCTGAACATGCATGCTGAATTCTGAGTCAGTGTTGCCTCTGTCTTTATATAGATCTGAACAATGTGCTCACAGCTTGAAGAAGCTAGTGATTGTTCATGTTCCTTTAACCCCGGATGGCTAGTTATTCTGACACTGAATTACCAGCATCCAGCTGATTTTACATTTACACCCACTATATGTAACAACCTACCAACACTTGGCTCTTTCTAGCACAGCAAGTGTTGAAGGGTAACATACAATTCTGTTATTCTTGAAGTTCTTTACTGATTATGTTAAAGTTCATTTAATGTGGATAGAAATTTAACTTTTTTAAATAATATGCAGTTTAAAGAGACACTATAGGCACCCAGACAACTTCATCTCCTTTAAGCGGTCTGAGGGAAGTGCCCCTTTCCAGTTAAGCCTGCAGCTGATAACCTTGCAGTTTTAGAAAAAATGCAATGTTTATATTGCAGCGTTAAAGGGAAAATATAATGCCAGAAAAACAAACTCGTTTTCCTGGCACTATAGCTTCCCCCTTTGTCAAGCCCCTCCTTCCCATCCCCCCTGGTGGTGCAGAAAGGTTTATAACCCCTTTTGTCACTCACCTGGGTCCAGCATCGATGTCCCTCAGTGTTGGCTACCCTCCGCCCATGCTCCTCCACCGCCGAAATCCACCGGTGGGGAAGACCTAAATCGCATGCGCGGCAAATTACGCTCTCCCTATAGGAAAGCATAGAAATCCTATGGAGATTTGGGTGACGCTGTAAGTATTCATGCATAGCGTGAGGATGTCCAGCGTCTTTGAGACAACCAAAAGTTGTCTAAGCACCGCAAGTCCCTCTAGTGGCTGTCTTATAGAATTATTGCAGTTTATAAAAACTGCAATAATTGCATACTCAGGGCTAAAGGAGTTTGCATCCAGACCACTTCAATGGGCTGAAGTGGTCTGGGTGCCTACAGTGTCCCTTTAAGACTGCGCTTCCTGCTGTTTAACTCCATAAAACAAAAGTATCGATTCAAGACTATCCTATTGAGAAACCTAATGCACTCGCAGGGCATTTGGTTCCCCTCACTATGATGTCTTAGGAGGAGACTGAAGGCAAAAGACTTTGGTTCTGGAATAAGGTAAGTGTTTTAAAGGCCTTTCAGTGAAGTGGCAGAGGGACACTATAGTGTTAGGAATACAGCTTTGAATTCCTAACACTATAGTGTTCCTTTAAGAAAATGTTAAAACTAGTGTCATGTATTTGTACTATGATAACAGCATGTGTCTATATATTTACTGTCATGTAGTAACAAGTGTGGATTACATCCCAGCTACAAATTAGTTGTGTCAGTAACTTTTGTTCTTACTGGTGAATTTCTACAGTACATGAAAACTTGAGCAATCATAGGTCACCATGAAAAGCAGCTCAGAGTTGTACTCACTTCAAAATGTAGTTTGGGAGGTGAAAAAACAAAATACATTTGTGGGTAAATCAAAATTGGATATTTTTTTAAAGTATCTATCCAAGAAAGTAAATATACCAGTGGATGAGATATGAACTTGTGTTATTGTTACATTTAAGGGTTACTCCAACCAAAAAAACAGTGTTTAATAATATACTGTTTTTGGTCATAGTAACTCTTACTGGCTTGGCCACACCACCAAAGAAAAAAGAAAAATAAGAATAAAGAATGAACTTACCTTTGATCCAGCACTGAGGCTAACTTCTCCCTGCAGCCATATCCTCCTCTGATGACTTCACTAACCCTCTCTAGATTGCTGACGGGCTCATAGGAGGATTTAGATGGCACAGTAAGGAGGAGCTGTGTCACCATAGGTTGTCTGTCAGCATACACCATATATGCACAGGATTGATATCAGTCAGCGCAGAACTCTCTGGGGTAGTTAATGACGCTGGAGGTGGAGTTACATCTCCAGCAGAAAAGAGTTTAAACTCTGTATTTCAAACTAAAACTCTGCACACAGAGACACAGAGCACCGTGACTGCTTCAGATCACTAAAATGGTCATGTTGCTTGTCTTAACCCTTTAATAAAAGAGCATTGTCACGTGCGTGGGCTATAGGCCCAGCCGAGACAGTGGGGAGAGTGTGGAAGTGACAGGGTTAATGACACCAGACCCCTGGTTACCTGTTGCTAGTCCCAGTAACCACTCAATTAACCCCTGCAATCCCTTCTACACTATCCCCCTTAGTACATACTCTACTGCCACCACCAAGACTTTTAAACCCGGGCGTCTTAGGTTACCCCACACACAGGAGAATTATAATATCACAGTTCTACTTTTACTGATAAAACATATATAGTTAACCCTTTTTGGTAACGTGTTTACCTGAGCTTTCCTCTGGAGAGTGAAGCTCATAGAGAACAGAGACACAAGCTGATTAAGTAAACATTTAATCTGACAAAAAGGATTCACAGTGCTGAGTACAAAATACAGAAATAAATGACATACAGATAACAAATTGCAAAACAGTACATAAAATAAAATAGGAGAAAACACAAGAAATTCCTTACATGTAGTTACCCCATATAGAATTCTTGTGGGAGTCTTAGATGGTATAGGTCTCCTAGAAGTTGCTGACAAAAGAAAAAATGAATAACTGACCTCCCTGGATAGTCCAACACCCTCATATATCTAAACTAGTTGTTTCTCAGTGGGCAGACCCCTGGGGGGGGATCAGAGGGGGTTGGTCTGGCAGTCTATTGCCCACTCTATGAAATTCCTTGTGTCCAGCTCTGGTGATGGCTATCTAGATGTTTTATGGTCTAGGCCTGGTGCAAGATCAAAGACCACAATAAATGTCATCCCAAGGTTTACAAAAAAACAACTCTTAACATATATAAACACACATCAAACACCACTCATGCTTTTGGCATGACAAGCATTATCACAAAAAACATGACTGTAAATTTTAAAAATGTGCTATATATACCCTAGTTAACAGTAGGAAATGATGGGTTAATCTTCATTGACATGGGGATATTGAGTAAGTAATCAAAGATAAAGGGGAAAGGTATCAAGGCAAAACAGGTGCTTTTCTAGAAATCATGTCCTACATTTTGAGAGACATCCTGATGGTTTCTATGGTGATTCCTCCTTATTTAGCACTTTGTCTCTGTTTTGCCTATTCACAAACCGGACTTTACATAGGACACAAGGCCATGCGTTTAGACTGGAAGAAAGAAGATTTCATCTAAGGCAAAGGAAAGGTTTTTTTACTGTAAGAACAATCAGGGTGTGGAATTATCTGCCTGAAGAAGTGGTTTTATCAGAGTCCATACAGATGTTCAAACAGCTACTAGATGCATACTTGCAAAAACAGAATATTCAAGGATATAATCTTTCAATGTAGGGTAATAACTGCTTGATCCAAGGAAAAATCTGACTGCCATTCTAATCCGGAAAAATCTGACTGCCATTCTAATCAGGCTCCTTTTCTCTCATAAATGTAAACATTGCCTTTCCTGAGAGACAGTGATGTTTACATTTGTCTAAGAATATGCCTCTACCGGCTATCAGAAATTGAAGGTGTTTATGTTAGGTGCTATCACACCCTGCCGAATGCTGTTAGTGCTTTACATAGATTGGTAATTCAAGTCCACGAGTCAGTATGTGTTATGACTTGACTGGAGGTGAAGCGGTTGCTCCAATAAGTTTTACCTGGCACTAGATTAACACACAATGTATAGTAATGTGTAATAGTTTTAATTTGTTTCGCAGTTATTTAGCCAAAAGTGGTCTGACTAGGATTAGAGAGTACTACACTGCAGCTGCACAGTAGCAAGTAAACGGAATCACATGGTGAGGGGTATTGGTCAACAGTAAACCAGGGTTAAGGGGCCCAGTGATATGAGATAGAGCAAGGGTACCCTATAGGTAGATCCCATATATTTTAAGACTACAGCTTCTAATATGCTTTGTCATTATAAAAGTATTCAAAAGGCATGCACAACATCATGGGAGTTGTAGTTCTGCAACATCAGGGGATCTACCTTTTGGGCACCCCTGGGATAGAGCAAAAGAAGATGGGTGAGAGTGGGGGAACTGAGTTACGTAATAAAGATATGAGTGTAGATTAGGGCTGTGTGGTGATTAGAGAAACCAGGGGGGGGGGGGAAAGTAGACAAACCCCCACCTGCTCTTCTCACAGACAAGCCAGGAGAGCTCTTTTCAGGAAAAAGACTTGTTTGTCTGAGGGGAGCATTTGTTTGTGTTCGCACAGGAACTCCCAAAAGTTGACCGGCCACTGCCTCTTTCTCCAAGGAACTATTTTGGGCTACAACCTCGTGGCCAGCCAGTCAGAACTTTACTCCGATGGCGATTCCTTTACATCGAACGCATCTGAGCGATATATGGACAACTTGGGCGCTCAGATCAGTGCTATTTGGGAATATGAGACATGTGGGTAGTTTTAATGTGGTTTTGGGGTGTTTGTATGTTTTCTGTATGGTTCCCTGTAACTGAGAGATAATTAAGTTACCAGTCTTTGAGTTTGTGTTATTTTGTATGGAGACCCCATGTTGGGGACTGTGCAAAAAAGAGTTGTCTTGTCAGGATTAGAGCTTCGCTACAGCTAGAAGGGAGGCAGTCGTTAGAGTTATGTGAAATGCCTGAAAACAGAATCGAGACAGGTGATCAGCAGCAATATTATGTACTTCAGGAACATGAATGCATGTTAAGAAAAACTGATTATTAGTGGCTAACCATGTCAATTTCCTAAGGAATCATACTATGGTTAGTGATTAAGAGTTACCCTTGTTTATTATGTGGCATGTAGCCAGGTTGTCCGAGAAAAATCTCACCGTCTGATCAGACCATAATGTCTCTCCAAGCAGCATGATAGGCTCTATCTAGGCGCTAGGCAGAGGGGATATCGTGGGCACCGAACGTTGTGACCTCTCATTTAAAAGCAAAAAATAGAATGGGAGTGACAGATGAGGCCCTCTCTATGCCACCATGCGAGGCGAATAACTATGAGTTGGGCCGAACCTCTGATTATGAAGATGAAGAACCTCTGTGTATGAAGATGGGTGTTGGCCTCTCAGGACCACTAACTTAAGAGGCCATAGAGGCCCGAGAAATTCTTAACTACTGAATTCCAGTAACCATACTAACTAAGGATGTAACATATGGTAGAGTAGAAGTAAATTGTCGGAAAATGACATACCTGAATGCGTAATGTCAGGTATGTAGTATGATAGAAGATAGAATTCTTATGGGATGAGACCTATTAGAGTTAATGACAATAGTTGAAGGAAGAATCGAACGTGAAATCGGAATGACCTTGTTGGAAAGGAGACGTGTGATCCATTGCCATACTAAGTGGGGTGCTGAGAGGGTGGTCCTCCCCGGGTGCCACTCATTAGGGGGCATCCGGGGGAGTACTTTGTCCGCACCGCACACAATGCATGCTGGAGCATTGCCATGGCAACCCGCTGCAACGCTCTCTCAGATCGTGAGAACAGAGGACCTGCTGCTGGAGGTGAAACAAACATGGAGACTACAGGGCCCCTCTTCACTGGGCATCCATGACACCAGACCGCGAGGGATTCTGGTGTACCCCCCTCCAAGGACACAGGTAAAAGACAGTCAGGGGAGATTACACTGTTCACGCCCCCCAGCACTTATCCCACACACAACACACTGCATACACTACAGAAACACACACACAGCATAGGCTATATACACACACACTGGATGCACAAACACACACTGCATAAACAAACACATACTGCATACACATACACACACTGCATACACTATACACACACACTCTCCATACACTATATACACACTGCATACACACACACTGCATACACTATACACACACACTGCATACACAAACACACACTTACATACACTACACACACTACACACACACTGCATCCACTACACACACACACACACACACACACACTGCATACACTTCACAAGCACACACTGCATACACTACACACACTGTATACACTATACAAACACACAAAGCATCCACTATACAAACAAACACTGCATACACTACACAAATGTTGATGTTTGCGTGTCTGTAATCTTTATGTGTGCCTGTATATGTGTATCTGTATGTGTCAGTGATTGTACATTTTAAAGTGGGGGTTACCAAATATAGGATCTGTCCCAGGTGTAAAATGCTCCAGGTACATCCCTGGAGTGATCATATTAGAATACTTATTGATTGTAGGGGCAAGAGCGTGGACTCGGACATAATTATGATTACATGACTGACCTACTCAATCAGCAAGGTACGAGGTGTGATAAGTAAATGCTGCCCTGAATCATGAGCATCCCGTAACATGAAAAATGAAACATTATATTCATATTGAGTGATGCCAATGACCCAAAAGATATCCTATTACATGTGGGAGCTGAAACATTGACTTTTTTAATGGATTAAATTAAAGTTAAATTTTATTTTTAAATTTCTACAAAGACCTTGGAGTGCAGTAATTTCTGCTATGTATATATATATATATTGTTTCATAGTTATGATTATTGGAAACATCCACTACCTACTCTAATACTAGTCTAATCTGCCTTTTAGATACAGCTTGGCTATCACCATGGATACCGCTACTCAGGAACAGAGTTTTTAAGCCCTCATTAATGCGGCAGTGACCGCATATGTCGAGAAGGCACTAACACGGGCTCGCCCACTAGACTCTAAAGACACAAATACAATTGAGGCTCACCATTCTGATGATTCAGAAGACTCTGAGTCCTCCAAAGTGGGACACCCCCAACCGCGCAAACGCCACTGGAAAGGGGATTGCCCTAAACCTAAGAACAGCAAGGGTAAAGCTCAGGCTAGATGCCTTAAAAAACTAGATCCTAAGGAAAAGTTTACGAACCATCCTACATTGTCAGAAGAAGAGGAGGAAGCCTTTCCAGCTCCTTCTTTGGAGGTATTAGATGAATGGCAGGTGGATTACTCAGATTCTGATGAAGAGACCAGTTGGCCAGAAACGTCCTTGGGGGACACCCAATTTACTCATGACATGCCATCTGCACTGCCAGTTCAGTGTGAAGGTACAGATGCCGACGGAATGCCCCAGACGGTTCCTTCCAGATAAGGCCGCTCTGACCCCGGATTTCAATGTGACGGTATATACGTACCTGGCCAGGACTGGCCGCGATCCCCATAAGGGAGTTGAACGCAGCTTGCGACTTACGCAAGACAAACTATTGGATGTCTTGGGACCCCTGGCCAGAATATTAATGATGGCAGGCGAAGCTCTCTCTCAGGAACTTTAGAGCCATCCACGATTAGGGACTGGGCTCTATGCTCCATTTGCTGGGCAACACAAGTGCGTCTTTTTGTACGGAGCAAATTGACAGCAAACTGTCTGATCTGGGATCGAAAGAGCTTGGTCCTTTGGCCAATGGTCTGTTATTTGGAGAGCCTTTTATAAAAGAGCTACACAAACATGTTAATCTCTACACTACACTTAATAAAGCCCAATCTTCTATGAGGAGAATATTTCACTAACACCCTTCCCGGGTTTTTGCCAGGGCTGACCGTCAAAGGGGTCGAACTGCCAGCCGCTTCTGGCCTACCAGCCACAGAAAATCCCACTTTCCTTCATTCTTCCCAAGTTACCACCCACGTTGCTCCTTC